TGCGCCGCCTGTGTTACCTTACCTAAGCCAAAATGATGTCCACAGCAGCCTGGTGCCCTCTGAGATACTCATGTCATGCATCTCAGGACGCTTCGGGGTAATCTAGTAGTGACTGCACATGCACCGCGTGGCGTCATCAGAGACCCGGCTGCAAAAATTTGAAAGATGCAGCCGGCTCCGGATGATGTAAGCAAAGGCTATGGTGTAGAGAGACCCACCATTTGGCAGTGGGACACCAGCTCTAGATGTGTGTGAGTATAAGTTTTGAGAATAATCTAGGGAACCAGGTTAGGCAGGGGAATACATTTTTACCTGGAGGTGAAGTGCCTCTTTAAAGTGACATTAAACCTTCCTTTTTTTTTTTCTTTCTTTGGAAGGGTGGCACAGATCGTGTCCAGATCTGTGCGTTTTGACGAAAACGTTTCAATTCCTCGTTTTCTAGTGGGTCCCCGCATTACTGCCTCACCCGCCTCCAGCACGGGTGCAGCAATAAGAAAAAGCGGATAGTATAGTGTTCCCGCAGTGTCTGTGTGTGTCCATAGGCCAGCTACGCCCCTCTTCGACGCCCAACAGGTTGATTAATGGCAGAAGGAGCCTATGGCTCCTGTGCCCTCAATCTCCTCCCCTGCAGCCAGAAAGTTTGGGACAGAGGATCGCTGCGGGGAACAGGTCAAAAAGGTACCCTGTACCTTGAAAGCTGAAAAGCATATATCAGGGGTTGGAAATCTAGATTTGGTTGCCCTATGCATTATCTATACCAAAGGCTTGCTGCATGGGGGGGTAGTCTAAAACATATTGGAACACCCAGCCCCATCTTACCAAAATTTATGTCACAGACACGATCTACACCAGCAGTCCTCCGCCTACTGCTCATGAGCCACATGGAGTTGTTTGTTGCCTTTGTAGTGGCTACCAGAAGCTTCTCAGAACTTTATATTTCAACCCTCCACCCCTCACTGTACAAGAATCTACCGGTGGCCTCAGTCATATATCCCCATTAAATAAAATGATTCAGTCTCCCACATCACCAATTTTTATACTTCGTATGGCCAACCATCACTTGTCATAGTTGGATGTGGCTCGTGAGCTAAGGTCTAAATCATGAAAATTTGGCAAGCAGTGGATGGATTGGACCAATCCAATCATTACACTAAAACCTTGCTTAGATTAACCTCTTGCCGTCCGCCCGTAGTAAAAAAACGGACGGACGGCACTGCAGCATCTGCGGGTTGCCGTCTCCAGACGGCAATTTTTTTCTGCTCGCGCGCGCCCCCTAGCGGGCACGCACGGGCAGAAAAGACCCGCTAAATGCACACACCCGTTACCGGGTGTTTCACATATAGGCGATCGGCGGG